AAGAAAAGAAAAAAAAAGCACTCGAGAAACTCAATCTAGGAATTGTCAAGTGGATGAAAAATCAAAGAAATAAGGCAAGAAAAGCAATAATCACCCAAACTTGTACTTTAACTTTCAGCATTATTAAAGTTGTTATCCAACCTGGAAACGTATTAAATGCGGTTGGTGATGCAGAAGAAACACTCAAATCAATGCAGAAGGCCTTATCTGACCTACTTCTTAATTGGAATGATACTGCTATTAACGAATTGATCGCTAATAAAAAGGCAGAGCTCGAAAATGGCATTAATATGGTAAAGGAAGCAAGTGATAACTTTCAAAATAAAGTTAATGAAGATAGTATACATGCAATTACGGATGACATGGAGAAATCTATCCAAGATATAGATGATCAAGCTAAGGAAAGGTAATCAGTAATGTTCATATATGATAAACTATCAACATTAAAGTTAACAAATTGCTATTATTTTCTATTAGTGTTGACAAGGATCCAAAAAAAATCTTATTCAGTCGTGCTATGAAACGAATTAGTGACAGCATTAAGAAACTGGGTGAACAGTTAACTGTATTTATGATCATTTCTTTGATCGTACAAGTTAGTTAAACTTTACCGATAATTACTAAATGAAATTCAATTTTAAAATAATCTAATAGTCGCTCGGGGAAGATATTGACGGTGTACAAGAATATATAGATTCTTTATACGTGTATATCGATTATGTTGACGCACAAGTTGATGCAGAGGTCGACGAAAAGAAAAAATCCGAAAAACTTGCAAAAATTAAAAAGACATTAGATGCAGACAATAAAAAACAACAACGACTTGAAAAAATGATTAAAAAACTTGAACTAGAAACTAAATCACAAAATGATGAATTGAAACTTTTATTATTCGAACACCTCGTCTATACTAGATACTGCATGACGATATTCATGGACAAGTATTGTCGTGCTTACAAATATTGGTCCCTATCTGAATCCAAGTTAAAACTCTCAGTTAAAGAATTTCATGAAATCAATATTAATGCAATGTTCAGAGATCTTGATGAATTTTTCAATAGTAAACCTCAGCTAAAACGGACTACTTTTACTTTTAAAGCTGATGATGATTCAAAGATTAGTGAATTTAAGAGTAAGAAATTAGTTAAAATTGAGATTAAGATTGATGGTGATAAACATAAATTAAATAAGTACGCTCGTCTAAGGGTTCATGCATTTAGAGTATACTTAGAGGGAGTTGGAAATGTAGGTGACCAAATTGCTCTTTATATTGGTCATTCTGACAAATTTGAAGACAAAGATAAAACTGGTAAAACATATACTTTTAAGTTAGAATCTTCAGAAAGAGGATTTGAATCCAAAGAAAGAGGATTTGAATATCGAGTATATAATGATTATTCTCACAAATTTGATATAGACCAAAAATACATAGATCTCGATAACATATATTATGATGAACGAGATAAAGATTATCACTTTACTCCAACTCCATTTAGTACATGGACAATTGGCCTTTGTAAGAATGACAAAGGGGAATATCCTAATCTATCCGGATTAATATCAATTAATGTTCACTTGATGGTATATTGTTATTTTAATCTAAAGGAAGCTGGTCAAGCTTTCGACGAGTTTGCTGAATTAGATTAGCATACACTGTAGTCACGGTAAATTTTTGTCGAGATCTTTACCCAAACCCCAAAATTTTTTATAATTCGTTGAATCTATGTTATTATGTATCAACGTGAACGTTTGAAAATTTTTTCTAATTTATT